ATACCATGTTCATAGGAGTAAAAATCAGCGATAGTGGATACTGTCATTTGCAGAAACTGAAACTAGTCTAATTTAAAATTCGTCTATTCTGAAACTTTTTTTAATAATCTGATTCCCTTATTTTAATGAGGTTTAGCAAGCATGCCTATAGGTTTTCAAACAATTCGCTTTGAGTTATCAATGTTTCACCACCTTCTGAATTAAGTAGATATTATGCCAATAGGACCCCGTCTAAATACTTAGGCAAGCTTTAGAGTAATGACTGTAAAATTGAGCCTGCCTTTGTTAATTGTTACAACCAGCAAGCAGGCCTGATTCAGACTTCTTATCTGAGTTATGTAATAAACAAATCTGCTTCCATAATAAAACTCCCCTCGTCTTTAGTATTTTAATCAGACCTAAAAAGTATGTGCAAGTCATGCTAGTTGTGTGCTTTTGTTCAAGGAGGTATATTTGAGCCTTTATCTGTTTATATGCTTCCCCAACATGTAGTATGTGTTTTTTGTATGTCGCCTTAGATTTTTATCCTTTGAAACCAATCAGCCTAATATCCCACCCTTTAGGACTAGTAGTCCTAAGTGCCTCCGGGACTGATAGGAATGGGACGGGTAATAGCTTGCAGTAGTAATTGAGACTAATCCGCACTTTAATACCTTAACGAGGTGGAAAGGGTAGATATGGATATGATGACCGGTGATCTAATGCCACGTGTAACCCCTATTTTGAGGAGTAATTACCGGTTATTGCATTGACGTGATCCATATTAAATATAAACCTAGGATCCCCTTTCCTTTTATTTGCAAACTCATTTTTTAACTCTTCTTTTAATTGTTCTTTCTTTTTTTATGTTTTTAAATCCCCTAATATTTGAGCCCGTACTTGTATATTTGCTAAATTCACAATAACTGTCTAGCCGGGAACCACACTAGTGAATCCTGAGGGGTGCCTAACACCTTCCCCTTGGGATAACTTCAACCCTTACCCTATCTCTGGTTATTCAAATGACTTAGATTTGAACCCCATTGGTGTCCTAATGCACCTTAAACCATTAGGTGGCGACTCTTCAAAAATGCAAAACCCAGTTCCTGAAAGGAACGAGTTGTCCCATACCAAATGTCATAAACCCGATTTCGTGAGAAAAAGGGGGCACGACAAATGTCACAGCTCCTTAGTCTATAATAAGAGAAATGATACTATCGTTATTGTTTCAGCGTCGTAACTAGTATATATCAACCACAACCTATCTTACAATGAAACAGACAGTTCCTCCCCATCTTATATGACTTCCCACAAGTTAAAACAATCACCAAATAGCCTAACAATGGCAACTATAACCAACAATAGCAACAACAACAATATAATCCAATATGATCTTCTCCTATTATCTTCACAATCATATTGAGCGGCAAACTCGTTTTTACTAATAACAAAATAAAATTGAATCCAAATCTTAATCTATAAATTAGTTTACAACCTTCAGAACATCATACTTATATGTATTATATGATTCCTAGTTCAAAACATCTACAAAATGCCTTCCAAAACAGCCTCACACACCTAACACCTTAGCTTTTATCGTCAATCACTTGTTTTTCATGTTTTATTCTTTAATCAACTTAATTAATACCTAGAAAAGCTTAACTACGGCAGCCACAACATTATAAAATTATTTCTCATAATTTTCAGTCACCACAAACCATATATTTAGCCACAAAATAGTCCAACCAAAAAGATAACCATATCTCATGTTCTTTCAAGTCCTATCTTGTGAGTTTTCACTCAAGTAACACAACCAACACAAGATTATCCTTGGGAACAACCAAGAAGATGTTATACATACCTTGGACAACAGCTAAACTTGAAACCCATCTCAACTTAGCTCACAATAGTCCTCAATCACACCACAATATCATAGAAGCATTCTCTTATAATCTTTAACACTTATGATGATGATTTGAGTTGATTTCTCTTAAATTTGGTTTTTGGGATCTTGAGATATGTTATAGAAGGTTTTGGAGAGCTTTTGGACGAATTTTGGGTGAGAAATGACCCGAAATGAGTCTCAAACATCTTTTTAAAAAAGTAAGGTCGGTGGCCGTCTCAAGTGGGTTCCAACTGAGTTGCTTGCGTAGTCTTGCAAAAATGCGAATATATCTGTACTCCGACGTCGTATAGATGAATAATTTAATGCGTTGAAAATTAGACTAAAAAATCTTCAATTTTGTGGGTGGATAACCCCGTAAATCCAAGTACATTGAGAGAAAATATCATTGACATTTGACCTAATTCATTAAAATTTATGAACGTAACTTGTGACGACTTTCGTCGACTTTTGTTTCACAACTCGCTTGACTTCAAGACTTATGATACAGATATTATATGATTCAAATACCTTAAAACACGACCTCCTTAGTATATTAAGCACCTCTATTTTTACCCGAAAATATGAATTACAACATCCTTGATTCGTTTTGCTTCTAACTTCTAATAATTGTTAGCTGCTCTTATATACCCTTGTATCATTTAAGAACAATATGATTAAATTCTTATTATCTTAAAGATAATCTCTTCTCGGATTTACGTCAACTAACTTACAACATGATCTAACGTACACGAATATGGGTTGTAACACCAGAGGGGCTCGGACGAGTTTCGGACACGTAACTGAGTGTTTGATAGAGTTAGAATCTGTTGGTTTTTGTGAAGAAGCTTCAGGTCTCGTAATTGTGAGAAATGAGCTGTAATTGTGAAGTTTATCTCGGGTTTGTTGGGCTCGCATTTGCGAACTCAGTGTTCGCATTTGCGATGGAGGACTGGGTAAGCTTGGTTCGCATTTGCGATCATCCTGATCGCTTTTGTGATGTGTCACTGGTTCACAATTGCGAACAATATGTCGTATTTGTGACTGTAGAAAAGGTGTGAGGATCTTCGCTCTTGCAAACCCAGGCCGCAATTACGACACCTGCGACTAGACAAAAGCCGGGGGACGTGATTTTTAACCTCATTTTTATATTTTGGAACCCTAGGCTCGGTATGAGGCAATTTTGAAGAGGGAATATCATCTACAAACTTTGGGTGACTAATTTTAATCCATCTCTAATCATACTCCATCAATTTATCTTAGATTTTAACATCAAAATCATGTGAATCAAAGTAAAAATTTGTGAAATCTTGTCAAGTTTTTGAAAAATTAGAAATTAAGTTTCAAGAGTCGATTTGGACTCGATTGTTGAAACTAATCACATATATAAACTCGTGGGGTCAAGGGTAGTCGTAATCTACCATTAGACCCGGGTTTTTATCGGACGGCCCCAGGTTGACTTTTGTTGACTTTTGTTGACTTTTTGAGAAAAGTGTAAAGATCTTTGCTTTATCTATTGTAATTGATTACCCTAGAATTGTTTGATGATATTAAGTCGATTTTGGTTAGATTCGATTGGTTTGGAAGCGAATTTTAGAGAAAAGGCCCCAGTTGGGCTTTGATTTTATTGCGGAGCGAGGTAAGTATTGGGTCTAACCTTGATTTGAGGGAATTAGGAACCCTTAAGCTATATGTTATGTGAATTACGTGTATAACGGCATATATGCAAGGTAATGAGTGTATATACGCCGTCAAAATAATTATTTCAATGCCTTCTCGTATTTCACGAATTATCTCATCTCATGTCTTAACTGTTATATGCTTTAATTGCTTTTTATGCTGTAATTTGTTACTTGTCATTAATTATTCTTGTATTGAATTGTTTGTCCCTTCCATAATTCTGTGATTAATTTCTACTTGCCTTAATTGTCTTACTTGCACACCTTAATTGTCACGTCTTGAATTGTCTTGTTGCTTTTGTATTATTTGTAGCAATCCTTTGATTAGTACGTGGTTCCTTTATCGCTTTGCTTTCATATCCTTTGATTGTAGAGATTTTTGTAAATTGAGCTATTGGATTGATTACGTTTATTGAAATTATTTATGGATCGGGTTTCGCACTGCAATGGTTGTGATGTGGTGGGATAATGGAGGATTACGACATTTATTCTAATGATATGGTGGGATCGGGTTGCGCACCGCAACTGTTGTGTATGTAATACTTGATATTGATAAATGATAATATGGTATAATAAGGGAGGATTATGACATTGATTATGATGATATGATGGGATCGAATTGAGTGCCGCTATAGATTGTATACGTGATTTCAGATATTGCTAAATGATACTATGGTGAAATAAGGGAGGATTGTGTGTGTACGGTGGGATCGGGTTGCGCGCCGCAACGGATTTTTTGTGTTGTACTCGTTATTGTTATTGTTTAGTTTTCAGCATTTTTATATGAAGTTACGAGGTCTGTTATTCTAGGTTCTTTGGTTGTAAGGTTGACTTCATTTTCATAAATTAACTGCTTTACTTTTATTCCTGTCTTCATTCCGTGTTATTATTATTATTACTGCGTACAAGTTATTGTAAGTGGCCTGCTTTGGCCTCGTCACTACTTCGTCGAGGTTAAGCTCGGCACTTACAAAGTACATGTGGTCGTTTGTACTCATACTACAGTCCCCATTTTTTGTGCAAATTTCGGAATGGGTCCTAGCGACATTCAGTAGATTTGCTTGGATCGAGTTCTTGACGGAGACTTGAGGTACAACTGCACAGAGTTAGCAGCCCTGAAGTCCCCTTCAACATCACCTTAGTTGTTTATTTCGATTCAGACAGTTATGTCTTTATTTAAATTATTATTTGTAGTACTTTAGGCGCTCGTGTATCCGTAACACCAGTTTTGGGATTGTATTTGAATATCGCCATTTATTAGTTTATTTACTGTATTTCAGTTTATTTAACTTATTAGTTTTTATTTAATTTGAATTGTTAAAAGTGGTTAATAATTATATCTAATGTTGGCTTGACTAGCACTGAAATGTTAGACGACATAACTATTGTGAAAATTTCGGATGGTGACACAAATACTTAGATAAAGATAAATATTGCTCCATAAGCAACATTAGGAGTTAGGACTAAGATAAGCATTAGATTGATTAAGCTCGCCAAATTAGCTCTTACCAGGTCTTCAAACAGAAGCTCCGCTCCGCTCAGGAAACAAATAGCGCCAACTGCTAGCCTATTTGCATTCCGCAAGCGAAGAACTTTCCAGAAGCCTCCAACATCCCCGCGTTTCTCCATCGCCGTCTTCGATCAACGAGACCCGCATATTACGCAAATTCCTTGCACAAAAAGCAAGCAAAATCAAAATATTTACAGCGATGCGTCGTCGCTTAAAGCCTAGGGTTCCTCCTCTCCTTTTGCTCTTCTATAGTTCCATTCTTCTCAGCTCGCTTCCAGGTAATTTTCACGAAAAACTCGGAAAGTAGCTGATTTCTGAATAAATGAATCGATTTTATGATTATACTGAACTAATTGATGGCTAAATGAAGAAACCTTATGTTTTTGTTTTGCTTCAGGATTGATTGCAGCTGCGATTGTTACTCTAGATTCGATCGAAATATATAACACTCATGAATTGTTAGGATCGACACCGGAAGTTTATTTTGAGTGTAAAGGTGAAAATAGAACAAATTTGCCTGATGTGAAGAAGAAACATGAGCTGTATACCTTTAAGGGCGAAGAGTCTTGGCAGGTATATAACTACTGTAACTTTGTCGGTATCTGAAATTAGTTACAGCATTTCTCAGTTGAAAAAGTTATGCAGTTGCCTTGTAAATTTTGCTTTGTTTGGAAAAATATTAAATTTTTACTTCATTAACGGGAAGCCATCTGTGAAACTATTGACTTTTTTCATGTTTAGTCAATCAACTAACTACACCTCAATCTCGAATTTTGGCAATTTTTAAGCTGACCGTTAGAGGCGGATCCATGATTTGAACGGCATATTTGGGATTTTCTGAACCCACAATTCATTTGAATTTCTGGGTCCAGAACATATCATTTGTACATATCTAGTGTGTTGAGTCTCCCACATTGGATAGGGATAGAGGACTTGGTCTCCTTGTATGGCTTAGGTAATCCTCACCACATGGGCTAGCTTCTAGGGTTGAGGCCCAATGTTCATTTCTTTATCATGTTATCAGAGCCGGACTGATCCAATTCTTTGATTCATCGATGTGGGCCCCCATAATATATTGTCCATGCCCCAGTTGGTAGGCCTGGGTGTGCGGGGGTGTTATTCTCTTACATTGGATAGGGATAGGGGGCTTGGTTTCCTTATATGGCTTGGGCAATCTTGACCTCGTGAACTAGGTTTTGGGGTTGAGTTAAGCCCAAGGTTCATTTCTTTATCATAGTGTGTTTTTAACGCATATATATAGGGTCTAAGACGAAACCAATGAGTTCAATTAAACTGTTACACTGTAGATCCACTTCTGTTGATCGTTAACCTATAACAACCTTCTCTTTTGTTTGGACTTGAGATCGGCTATGCTTTGCACACTGGGAGTTAAGCTGACTTTGCTATTATACCAAAATAGAATTATAAAACACATTAGAGAATAATAAAGCCAACTTTGTTATTCTACTGAGTTCGTGCACGGAATCCAATGCACGAACTCCTGTAAGCTCCTTTCATACCCTCTATCGACCAAGGAAGGTGCTACTGATCCCTGAATCGAGGGACGACGCGCTTTCAATCTCCTACAGCTCCCTACCAAGCCCTTCCACTGCATGAACTACCCTTAAAGTAAATGATTTCTTAAGTACTCTTGCGAAATTGTTGGTTTATCATATTTCCATCTATCTTATTCTCTTGTAGTTAGTTTTTGTATAATTTCAAAGAGAAGTGGAATATAATCAGATGTATCTTTTCAAACTTATTTCCTTTATGTAACAATGCCATTTGCCAATTACTACAATTTGCTCCTGCTTAAATTCATTTTGAGAACAGGAAAAGCTAAAACAAGAAATTTTCTAACTATCTATAAAATGTGCTCTAGCAAAATCCTCTTTTTTCTTCCTTCAGGTCAACTCTGTCAATCAGAACTGAGCAAGTCAAGTTCTATTTAGATGTACAGTTTCAGGAAAAAAAGTTCATCAATGTCTACCTAGAAGGTTAAATTATTTTAGTAGTAATTGCCCCTTTTAGTTGAGGTTACCTCCAGAGATATTTTCTTCAAGACTCTGTAATTGCGCCTTTATGTAACAATGCCATTTGCCAATTACTACAATTTGCTCCTGCTTAAATTCATTTTGAGAACAGGAAAAGCTAAAACAAGAAATTTTCTAACTATCTATAAAATGTGCTCTAGCAAAATCCTCTTTTTTCTTCCTTCAGGTCAACTCTGTCAATCAGAACTGAGCAAGTCAAGTTCTATTTAGATGTACAGTTTCAGAAAAAAAAGTTCATCAATGTCTACCTAGAAGGTTAAATTATTTTAGTAGTAAGTGCCCCTTTTAGTTGAGGTTACCTCCAGAGATATTTTCTTCAAGACTCTGTATCAGCTAATCTGGAAGGATTATTAGTCTCTTACCCCTCATTGAGGAGGAAAAGGTCTGTCGTAAAGCAGCTTGTAGACCTCGTCTCTACAGAAAGTCATTCTTCTTCAGCTGAGATGTCTTAGTATTCCACCTCTCAGTTGATTGTAGTCATTTCTTCTTACAAAGTGCTTGATAACATTGGTTTAGTTGGGCTGATGTGGTTATGGGGAGTTCACTTGTTTGGTTCTCTTTACCTTTGTTTTTCTCCTTCAAGGAGTAGAAGTTGGGATTAGGCTTAAAAGTTTTCCGTTGTCACATTATGGAAGTATTTCCAAGAATCTTAAGCTAAAGTTAATGGTGGAAGGGAAATAAGAGAGAGCAGGGGATGAGATGTTGGCATTGCATGATGGGAAGCATATCGAGGGCATTTGCAGGCCTGGAAAGATAAGTGCTAATTGACAGGGGACAGTTGTTGGGAGATGAGTTGCCTGGGAGCTGCACTGGTGGGCGGTGGCAATGGTATTGGTAGGTGAAGTTGGGAGATGGTAAAGAGGGGTTTCTGGAGGTGGAATTTCTTGGTTTTAACCTAGGCATAGGCGCATAGCTGTGCATGAAGGCAATAACCATTACCTACTCTACCATAATAATAAATGGATAAACTTTCAATTGTGTACATATATCTACCAAAAGATTTCTTGGAATGATATGACATTGCTAGTGCGTGGATGAATACGGAAGAGAACATTACAAAGTGGAACCGTCTTCCCTCCCCTCTCCCCCACCCCACCCCAAAAAGAATAATAATTGTAATAAAAAAAGTAAAAGGAAAGGAAACTAAACAGTTGACCATCTAAAGCTTGTTTTGACAAGAAAGAGAACTTGCAACCAGGATGCAGAGCAGTGTATACCATCTTTCTTTTCATAATTTCCTTCCAAGTCTTACTCCATGATACATAGGAGTACTCATAGTAAAGTCGGACACTCCTCAGTAAGTTACAAGCCTACCTCATATGTGTGGCTGTCCGGCAGAAGAGACTCCTATCCTTAACTAACGATGGTGTTTTGTTTGCTTTTGTGCATCAATGGAAGAATTTAAAATTGTCTTCCATTTTAGACTATTACTGTCGTAACTTGGAAGGTTTCTGAAGCAGCTTGCAAGCTTGTCTATGTCTGTTCTTTTAGAAGTTTACAAGTTTGCTGATCTTATGTGCTTGGCATAAGACATCTTCTTTCGGAAGCTGATGATGTTGCATTTTTATGTTTTTAGCCTCTGACAGAACTCGAAGAAAAAAAGTGCAAACGATGCGGGATATATGAGAAAGACTCATTTATAAAGCCTGATGATGTATTTGATGAGTGGGAGTTCTGTGCCTCTGATTTTACTAGAACTGATGGGAAGTATATTCATTTCAAGGAGAAAGAGTTCAATGCCACATTCTTGTGTCCAGACTGTGTCCCTCTTGAAGGTGGTGAGTATTCTATCTTCTGCTGTCTCCTCTTCTCCTCGGTTAATGCGGTGCATTTCGTGTAACAACAATTGACTTGAGGCTATTTGACATTTTACTGCACATAAACTCATACATGCTCTAAGAAAAAAACCCCCTCATAAATGCTCTAACATATAGTTCCAATATCAAGTATCTACGGAAATTCATTTATGTTCTCTAAGATCTCTCCTTGCTGATCAACATAAGCATCTAATAAAATGTACCCCAATCTCTGCCCCCAAGGCTTTGATTTATTGCAAGGATGCAACTAGTTGTGGCAAAATAGTTAAAAGAAAACAGTTATCCACCTATATTATCCATTAAAAAGTGGGTTAGATAATGAACTTTTTAAAAACGGGTCAAATATGGATAAGAACCATATTATCCACTTAGAAAATGGATAACCAATGGGTTCAACTTTTCATTTATATAAAGCCTCAAATTGGAGGTTCCTCAAGTTTGGGAGAGTAGAAATTCTCCCAAAAGTGATCATATTTCGGAAGTCGTGGATAATATGGATATCCATATTATCCACCGGTTAACCCGTTTTTTATTCGTATTAAATATGGGTCGGGGCGAATAATTTATCCGGTTTGCATTACACGTTTTGACCCGCCCATATCCGACCCGACCCGCCAGTTTGTCACCCCTAGATGCAACGTAGGATGTGTGGAAAGACGCATCTCTAGTTCAAACCCTGCCACTGACAAGAGGACTTGTATTTTAGTAGGAGCACGATAGAGGGGCTTTCTATACAATCCGAGTTTTCAAACATGTGGATCAATTGGAGTTGGCCATAACTAGGGGTGTCAATGGATATTTGAAAACCGATTAAACGACCGAACCGAACCGATTTTTAGGTTTCTTTTAAAGAAACCGTAGGTTTTTATATAAATCTATAACCGTACCTATAATTAGGATATGTTTTTTATTTTATAAAAATAAACCGAAAAAATACCGAACCATACCGAATAAATTTTACAAGTGAAAAATATATTTATATAGTAAACTTAAAACTAATAAAGCATTAAATTTTTCATTGGGCCTTGGAATTATAAAAACTGATACAAGTTAACAAGTAATTAAACTCAAAATACTAGTTCCTAAAACCTATTATCCTACTTATACTTAAACTAAGTTATTTCAAGTATCTTTATTAGCAAGATATAAAGTATTCCAGCGATTATGAGTAGCAAACTATAATGTATTGAATATGTTTCCCTCCATACAATTTAGATTTATCTTTTTTAATATTTAATATAGACTTTATTCTTGAGTCCCAGCTTGGTTAATATCTTTCCACTCGTGTGATTTATATTTTCTTTGCTTTTACTTGGTTTCTTTTACGTTGCTGTCGAATAGTTGATGTATCTATACTCTAGTCATCTCTCATGTTTTTTAATTTATCACCTTTTAAACAATAAAAATATCTAGAGAGTTTTGCTAAGTCCTATAAAAGAACGCATGTTATTGCATTCTACTTTTACTGGTGAATTTTACATGGCATTTAAAAAAATACCGAAAATTAACCGAACTGTACCGATATCGAAGTGAAACCGACATGATTGGGACGGTTTCGAAAAGTCTAATTTTGGTTATGCATAATAGAATAACCGAAGAATTGGTATGGTACAAATTTTATAAAATAACCGGCCGAACCGAACCATTGACACCCCTAGCCATAACTCACAGTGGAATTGTCGATTAACAACCACCAACCCCCCAAGAAAAAATAGTACCCCAAACTTTCGGAAGATCTGTAGTGCTTCTCGGAAAGAAAGCAAATAATAAGAAAAAAAGGCTTTGGTGGGTAAATCTTTGAGTTTCAGTGTGATGTAGGATTTGGGCTCCTCTAATTGGCGCTGCAATTAAAAAACGTGAGTACCACCCTACCTTAACTAAGGGGCATCGACACAGACGTTAATGAAAATGTTTGGCATTTTTCCTAGTTCTATAATTGAATTATTTGCTTCTTAAAAGAACCTGAATAAAAGGAAAGTTTGACTTCCCTTGCAGACTATTATGATGACGAGTTGGATTTCCGGCGATCTTTGTTCTGAATGACATTTCATTATGTCCCCCCCTGATATCCCTTTTGCACTGAATCCTTGGTTAATCTTTAAAACTAAGTTTATTATATGACCTATTGTGACATTGTTGGTGAGATTATCCAATTTAACGCAGCATTAAATTCACAAGTTATGATATCATTCTTATTTGTGCAACAAAATTCTTGTATTTATAGTATCTGGTCTATTCTTCCCACATGGATGCTTGCCCCTTTGTTAGGATGCTCTATAATTTGTTCTCTATATTTGGTTACTTATGGTGTGTCATTGCATGGTTCCTCTGTAGCTTCAAATCACTCAGCTGGCTCGCAAACGAAGGGAAAGGGAATGCACTGGGTTCTAGTGCTGCTTATCTGTGTGGTAGTGTCAACTTTTGTAGTTCTTGGAGCAGTGACTGCCTACAAATATTGGCAAAAGAGAAAAAAGCAACAAGATCAAGCTCGATTCTTGAAGCTGTTTGAGGATGGCGATGACATAGAGGATGATTTGGGCATTGGACCACTTAGTCATGTCATTTAGGGAGAAAAAGAAGTGCATCCTCTTCTCATGGTATACGTGAAACACTTGCACATGTTTTTTGTTTTCAAATTTTTCTTGGAAGGAACTATCGAGACAGTTGTATAGTGTAACTTAACAGTGTGAGAGGAAGAGAGAGAGAGAGAGATTGTGTAAAGTCATCGTACTGCAAGAGAAATGTTGAACTGGTCCTTGATCCTGAAAAAGAAAGATATTTTGCTTCAAGATGTTGGACAGCCAAGGGTCGTTTAAAGTGAAATGAAATAGTGTAATTGCCTGTGGACTTTGGCTTGGTCTTAATTGGCAGGTAAAGTGTAAGTATTGTGGATTTGCTGCTGTAAATATTATAGTAGATCCATTCAATTTAATTGTCCTATTTATCCCTTATAAATGTGATGAAAATCACCAAATAAAAAGTTATACATTTTCTTAAATTCAAAAAGTTTTGAGAAAAAGAAATAAGCAAAATAGAAAAGGGAGATTACAAGAGATCAAGTAATATCAATATGCATTCTGGCTAGTAGGACTGCACATACGTACTTATAGAGCCACGTAATCTTAATACCCAAAATAAGTAAATAGATAAACCAAGTTTCAACTGAATGGGTGATGTCTCATCTTTTGACTACAGACTGTAGAGTTATAGCCTATAGGGATGCTTAGGTTCAGAGTAGATGAACACCCATACCTAAAGTAATCAAAATCCAAAATAATAAGAAAAGGATTTAGGTATTGCTTAAAAAACTGAAAAATTATTATAAGAATCCATTCCTATCAAGTGAAAATAATGGCAAATAGAAAGTTGATTTCGTAAAGAAGTGAAGGCGTGTGCAGTAGAGATTAGGAATTTTTTGGTCACCACATTATCCACTTGGAAAGTGAAATTCAATAAAAATTAGAAAAATTAGAGCCATTTGCAACCAATACACACAAGAAGTAGCAGTAGCTTCTATATTAGTAACACGCAATAAGTAGCAAAGTCCAAACCTTAACGTCATCTTTTATATTTTTTGACATTCAATACATCCAAACCTATTGGCCTTAGTGCTTAACGTCAGGTTCCCTCCACGTACATATGAAAAGTAAGTCATTCGTATTAGCTCATTAACTCGCTTTAACGCACTCTCACTATATTGGTGCGGATTTGTGTAGGGTATTGTCTGTATAATTATTTGAGCTTTGATACCTACTTGTCATGACCCAAAAACCCAACCAATTGTGATGACGCCTAATTAACGAACATGCTAAGCAAGCCGGACTTAACAATAATGAACCATAATAGCAGAAAAAACATAATTAACATAAGTCTAAACCTTAATATAGCAAAATACGCCAATACATGATAAATCCTCTAGAACTAGTAAGTGTAAAGTCATGAGCTCTAAACCGGAAATACAGTCTGAAAGCTAAATAGCAATATTTTCTGAAATAAAGACAACAATACAATATAGAAAGAAACGCCAAGACTGCAGTCGAGAATGCAGCTCTACCTCGTCCATTACCGGTGACTGTGACCTCTAAGGGGATGAAATGCTTTGTACCAAGACTTTTTTGTTCTTAGAACTCGAACCCTCCTCTAGTTAAATATGAAGGATCTCAATTTTCAACCATCTCACTGTTGGACGTATAACATTTGACGTTTTACTGATGTCCACTATATTTGAGAAGGAAAAACAATTCTTATGAGTGGGTTAATCCCTAAAGAAATAGGAAAAATTAGTAGCATCAGCTTTCAACTAATAACTTAAAGTCGTAGATTTCTTTTGAAAGGATGAAACTACAATTTTAAAACGCGGTTAGATATTCTTCGACCTAATTAGGTCTTCGTTGTTGTAAATTACTTCTCAGGTTATTAAAAGAAGATGTTCCTTGTCAAAATTTAACCAATTGATAAAGTTCCAATTGTGCTCATTTACTCGAATCACTTGAAAGGAATTTATTAGGTTAGAAAAATAGTGGTTGAAATTTTGTTTCTTTAGCCTGTGAACCTTCCTCTAAAGAGTGGTGTACAAGAAACTTTGGGTTGTTGCACATGATGACTCTAAAAATATTTTTACTGTCAAAAAAGGGCTCGTCAAATTACATTGACCCAAAACAATAAGAGCTCGTCCATATCAAGCCTGATATAGTAGCGTGAAAATATAAAGTAATAACAAGCTATAACGAGTCAAATTTGCACAAAGTGTAAGAATGCATTATACTGTCAAAAAAGGCAGCCCGGTGCACTAAGCTCTCGGGTTCGGGGAAGGCCTGGACCACAAAAGGCCTATCAACCTTACCATGCATTTCTGCAGGAGGCTGTTTCCACGGTCAAACCCGTAACCTCCTGATCACATGACAACAACTTTACCAGTTACGCCAAGGCTCTCATTCGATGCATTACACTGTCAGTGTATATAAAAACTCTTTTTTATTATCTTTACTTTTTTGTTTGGTATTTCTTTACCTTTCTTGATCACAAATGGCAGAGATCACATACCCAAGTTCTAATATTTTTACAAGAAACCTCAGGGTAGAAATAGACCAAGTAGTTGATGATGTAAATTACATATACTTATTCAATGGAAGGCATCCAACTTGTCACCTACTGATCTTACTTTAATAGAAATTTCAAACCTCACTACCACACGAAAAACAAAACTTAACATTATATTCTAATACAATGGTATCAACAAAGATATTCACATAGCAAAAATACAAAGAGAAAGTGACTAAATATGAAGAAAATTTGACATTGAAAAACCTTCCAAACTCCTTCACTCCAACTACACTTTTCCCTTTCTATTTAGAGTGTGTTCTTACACACAAAACTTGTAAAAATTATACAGCCATAGATCACACTCAACACCCTTTGATCAAACATGTCTAGTCTTGGCGGAGGCGACGACATGTCTTCAGCCAGTGATCTTCCATTTTTAGGTCCAAGATCAACCATGGATCTTCAAGAATTCAGTAGAAAACCAAGACACAATGTCTCTGTCACACTAGGTGAACTATTGAAACGCGTTGGCGACTCTACTGAGGAAACATACAACAATAATTCCCTTGAACTTGGGAATCACTACTCCAATATTGCTTCTCCATCTTCATTTCCCTTTATTCTTTCTTTCCACAATCTCAGCTATAGTGTTAAAGTTAAAACCAAAATGGCACTTCCTAAGTTCTTGAGACGCGGTAATAAGGACAACGAGTTGCTAGACGATAACATGAAGATGTTGTTGAATGACATATCAGGAGAAGCAAGAGAAGGTGAAATCATGGCTGTACTTGGAGCTAGTGGTTCGGGAAAATCTACGTTGATCGATGCACTTGCAGATCGAATATCAAGAGAAAGCCTAAAAGGGACAGTAACTTTAAATGGTGAAGTTCTTGAATCAAAACTTCTTAAAGTTATCTCAGCTTATGTTATGCAAGATGATCTCTTGTTTCCAATGTTAACTGTTGAAGAAACACTCATGTTCTCAGCCGAGTTTCGTCTTCCAGGGACTTTATCTAAGTCCAAAAAGAAAGCTAGAGTTCAAGCATTAATCGATCAATTAGGCCTTACAACTGCTGCTAAAACAGTGATTGGAGATGAAGGCCATAGGGGAGTTTCTGGTGGCGAAAGAAGGCGTGTTTCTATTGGCATTGACATAATTCATGACCCTATTGTCCTTTTTCTTGATGAACCAACTTCAGGGCTTGATTCCACTAGTGCATATATGGTTGTAAAAGTCTTGCAAAGAATTGCACAAAGTGGTGGTATTGTCATCATGTCAATTCACCAGCCAAGCTATAGAATCTTGAGTCTTTTGGACCATTTGATCATCCTTTCGCGCGGAAACACAGTCTTTACTAGCTCTCCTTCAAGTTTACAACAATTTTTTGCTGAATTTGGAAATCCAATTCCAGAAAATGAAAACAGGATAGAGTTTGCTTTGGATTTCATAAGAGAACTTGAAGGAACTCCAAATGGAACCAAGAATTTAGTGGAGTTCAACAAAACATGGCAAAGGAAAAAAACCTCAAATAGTAGCAGCTTGTTTTACAATGGAACAAAACCATCACTCAAAGATGCTATAAGTGCAAGTGTTTCAAGAGGGAAATTAGTCTCAGGAGCAACAAATATCGACTCGAGTCTTTCTTCCTCAAATATTCCAAAATTTGCTAATCCATTTTGGGTTGATATGGTTGTGATAGCCAAAAGATCAATGCTGAATTCCATGAGAATGCCTGAGCTATTTGGTATGCGTTTTGGCGCCGTTGTTGTTACTGGTATTATACTAGCCACTATATTTTGGAAATTGGACAATTCACCAAAAGGGGTTCAAGAAAGGGTAGGATTTTTTGCCTTTGCAATGTCCACAACTTTTTATACTTGTGCTGAAGCAATCCCAGTATTTCTTCAAGAAAGGTACATTTTCATGAGAGAGACTGCTTATAACGCTTATCGCCGTTCCTCTTATGTTCTTTCACATGCCATTATCTCACTTCCTTCAATATTAGTCCTCTCCATTGCATTTGCTGTCACAACTTATTGGTCAGTTGGATTAGCTGGTGGCGTTTCAGGTTTCCTTTTCTTCTTGCTTTTTATGGTTGCCTCATTTTGGGCTGGAAGTTCATTTGTCACATTCCTTTCTGGTGTCATATACAATGTTATGATGGCTTACACGGTTGTTGTCGCGATCTTGGCTTATTTCGTGTTGTTTAGTGGCTATTTCATTAGTCGTGATCGGATCCCTCCTTATTGGATATGGTTTCATTATATGTCCTTAGTGAAATATCCTTATCAAGGTGTGTTACAGAATGAATTTGATGATCCTCTTAAGTGTTTTGTAAAGGGTATTCAGATTTTCGACGGCTCGCCTTTGAGGGCTGTACCTGAGCAGTTGAAGATCAAGTTGCTGCACAACATGAGCAAGACTTTGGGAATGAACATAACAAGTTCAACATGTTTGACAACAGGAGCAGATATATTGAAACAAACTGGTGTGAATGACTTAAATAAATGGTCTTGTTTGTGGATTACTATCGCTTTGGGATTTTTCTTTAGGATTCTCTTCTATTTTGCTTTAGTCATTGGAAGCAAAAATAAGAGGAGGTAAAAAAACTTTGAGGGACATATATTTACTAGTTTCTATTTTGTGTCTTAATTTTAATTGAGTAAATTATTTTTCCTCTGTTTTTCTTAGGCATTATGCTTATTTCCAAATGTCCAAATCTTGTTTAATAATGTTCACTAAGTTGTATTCAGATGGTTAGATTTGGATATTGTTAGTTCTGCTATTTTGTGGAAAATAGTATTTGCATGTATATATCCT